TCCTGTTGGCATGAACTTCTTTGGATAATGAGACACAACAAAAAATTGTAACTAAGTGCACCTGGTTTCCATAACAGGTTATCCATGTGTTGTTTGCAGTGTTGATCCTGCAAATGAGAGGTCACTTAGGTCTCACAAAGGGACATGCACTGAAGGCAGGAGTCCCACTGGTGCTGTGAGGCATGGCTGAGCTCTGAGGCAGTCAGTCAGTGGGGTGGGCTGAGAGCTGCTGAAATTAAGCTGCTTTCTAATCTAGCACAACTTGCTATTTTCATCACTTGTGTTACATACTGCAYTTTCTAGACTTAAATAAAAACTAAATTTAAATACTGTTTCTGAAGGATAGAGTAGAGGGTGTTTCTCACCAACAAGGAAGCCTGGGCTCAGGATGGAAGGACCAGGATACAGGTCCTGATATGGAAGGTGTCCTGATTCGKGACACCAGATACTGAAGGTGAGGATACAGGACTCCTGCGCTGCTTCTGTCTGATCTGTGTGTGTGTGACCTCGAWTAGGGTGTCTCTCTCCGTGTGTCTCTCTTTTCCCCCTGGACGTTGCTGTGCTGTGGTGCTCCTTGCAGAAGAGGAAGCGTTGTGGGAAGCAAATTCCTGTAGCAAAATAAGAGTGTAGCAGCCCATGGCAGGCGCACAGACCAGCAGTAAACGCTGGCAGCTCACCACCTACAGAGATGGTTGTTGTCAGCTGTGCGTGGCTATGTGGGGGACAAAGCTGTTTGTGAGTCAGAAAACAGGTTATGAGAGAGCTCCCTAGCTCTGACAACCCTTCCAWAACAAGCCAGCATTTGGGATTTGATCAGATTATGCTGTTCAGAGTTACCAAACTGCAGTGGGGAAGCACAGTTTGCATGTGTGTTGCATAGTAGTCTTGTCCTGTGATGTCTAAGATGTTCAACCTTCTCAGTTATTGCCTGAACAATTCATGTGAGGTCTGTTCACTCAGTGCTGGTTTGTCTTTAAGCTGGGCATCAGTCCTCTCCAACAGGAGCCTTTCTTTGCATTTGATTTCTGTGCATCAGTCCTCTCCAACAGGAGCCTTTCTTTGCCTTTCATCCATACCAGATTGAGCAGCTTTATGACAACATCCCCATTTTCTAATTTAGGGGAATTTTTTATTTACCCCACAAGTGAAAAACTTYATAGTGCATCTCTGCTATCCTGGGATGCTCTGACTTCATCACTGGCACAAGAAAGATTTTTGCCTTCTGGAAGCATCTGAATTTGATGTGAACCTGCAACAAGCTGAAATCATTGCAGTGATGGCCAAATATTCCTTCTCGAGCTGTGCCCAAGAGCAGGACAAGAGAGTAGCAGGCACAAGCAGAGACTGTAGCCTCGCCAGTGAGCTCTTTGGCTCTTGTAATGAAGAATATTTGTCCCTTTCTCAAGGCTAAAACTAAAACAGGCTTAAACCAAGGTGACCATAACTCTCCACTGTGAGAAGGAGTGCACTTCTCCCTCACCTAGCAGGATAAGCATTTCATTCTGATTATTTCCAGTGACACCAAGAAAATTAGAGGCTATTGGAACACAAAGCAACGCTCCTTGGTGCTTGACATTTCTTTGTTGTACTTTCCCCGCTGCTGCCCTTCATCACTGTGAGCAGCGTTAGCTTAGCAGCCCTTCGGTGCTGAGCATCTGCTCTGGCTCACAGCGAGGGAGCTGCCTGCAGCCCAGCTTTGCTTTAGGGTGCCTGGCACGCTGGACTAGGTTGCCGTGTTTGGCTGATTGGAATTGCTCCTAACTAGCTAATTYTGCCGCAAAGGCAGGCTGCCCTGCCTTGTGTTTCACAGCAGCCGCATCTTAACAAGGTTGCTGGAGGAGCCTCTCTTCGACATTGCTGCCTCACCCCTTTCATCACTGCTCTTGCCAGACAGCTCTTCTAGAGTTAAGCTGTGTGCTGAGAAAATCGTCTATATTTGTTTGCTGTGTTTCTTGCCAGGGGATCCTGAAGCATTGTATGTGCRCAGAGGTTTTTTTACCTCCTGGAAGCGTAGCAGCTTGCTGCCTGCAACGCGGAGGCTGCTTGAAAGAGCACTTCTGCGCCAGGGGCTGGAGTTCAAGGGAGATACAGAAAGGCATTTGAGGAGTGTCTGGATGAGGACTCACCTTTGGAACTGGGCAAAAAACTTAGAGAGCATCATGGCAGCTCACCAAGCCAGAATAKCCAAATACTGCTTCCTTTTAGCCAGCAGGAATGCTGCTTCCCTCTGACTGTAAGAGGCAGCTCRAAAACAGTTGTGCCTTCCTTCATCTCCCTAAATTTGTCTATGCAGGACTCATGTCGGAGGTCTCTCCTCCAAGATAGTCCCCGTCTCAGGTGTACTGGAGCTGTTCAGTTCCTAGTTCTGGGGAGTAGGAGCACCAGCTCATTTAAAGAAGCTTTCTTTCGTGTTTAAGCCAGGGAAAAAGAACAGAAACAGAAGAGGCTSTGTTGTTAGCAGTGAGGTTTTACAGACTGAATCCCTACCTTTGTGCTGAGTCTGTCTTTTGTGTGTAACCTCCTTGAACAAGCGTGAACTCCCCAGTAGGCACTGAAGGCCAGAGCTGATGTCTGGCTCTGTAATTGCTGTTGACCTTCCTTTGTTTTCATAYCCATTGGGAACCCTGGGGAGTAGCTGACTCCTGGTGTGGTTCCCTATGYTTTCTTGGGATGGGATAAACTGCTTCAGCTCTCTGTCCAGAAAACCCAGGAGCTCCRGGACTACCTGCAGAGTTAATGCTCATTGGGTGTTTCCTCATGCCAGAGACAAGAGAAGAAAATGTAATCAATTTTTAATTGATAGGCACTTTCAGATATTGCCTTTGAAAGATGATAACATAGGCCGATTTGCACTGTCCCAGTGCAAATCAAGTAAATTCCATTTTCCTGCTGAAGAAGATTAAATATCTTCTGCATCCTTGGCTGCCCTGCTGTTTCAGTGACTTAAGGAAGCATCTGGAGCATCCCTGTTCTTTTGTAACCCTTTGCCAGCCCCAGRCGCTCCCTCGGTGAGGCCCAGGAGGGCACTTTCCTTGCAGTACATGTCCTTGCAGTCCAGTGAGGGAAGCTGGTCTCCCATCCCTCTTTCTCCTCTTCAGGAGATCAACTGCTCTGAGTACATCTGAAGTGGCTGTGCCATTTTTTTGAGCCTTCTTTTTTCTCTTCTCTCCCCTTTTTCTCTTTCTTTTCCCTCTATCACCAGCTGGCCTAGATTATAATGTGAGACCCCACCGGCTTCAATTAAGGAGCAGATGTGTCAGAAGAAATGGGGATAGCAGCTAGGGATGGAGATGACACRTTCATGGCACTAGGTCTAATCAAACAGCTTCTCACATTATTCTCACTGTGAGGTGGGAGACGTGTGAGYCGAAGGCAAGTCAGCACTTGGAGCACTGGCAGAGACACATCTCCAGGAAAGCCATCCRTAATGAGCTGACCGTGCCACTCAGCATCAGGCAGCAGCAGCTCTGGAAAGGGCTGCATTTAATCCACCTAAGTGCAGCAAAAGGTCCTGAGACAGAGCTGAGAACCTTGAAAAGGCTGCCAGGTGGAGGGGATGATGGGCATGATTGTACACTGCATACCCACGTATGCATTTGTGCTCCTGGGAGAGGGGACACTGCATGCCCACCTGTGGCATGGTGCATGTGCCACCTTCATCTGTGGTGAAAATTGAGATGTCACTACTGTCACAGAGCTGTTGGTGGCTCTTGCTGGGGTCAGGCAATGGGAGAAGAGAAACTGGTGTGCTGGAGCCCTCCCCAGCATTGCTCTGTTCAGGGCAGCAGGGATTCCAATTGACCCATAATTGTTGGTGGAACTGTGTCTGTGGCACTGCAGATGCTGGGTGTTGAAGGTTTTTTAGCCTGGCTGTGCTTGGCAATTCTGGGGCCCTTTAGAGGAAGCAGGTGCTCTGTAGATCTGTCACGCACACAAGTTGTCTGTGGAAGAGAAGGTGATTTGAATCTGGAGAAGGTCAGTTGTGATTATGCTGAAGCTGCTGTAAATTATTTCTCCCTCTTTTACATTTAGACTAACAGCTGTTTTGTGTTTAGGAAGCTTTTCTCATTTTAGATGGAGAGCTTCTGGTTATCCCCATGCTGTAATATTTTAATTAAGAGTTTATTGCCAGTGAAACGTCTATCAGATGGCTGCAGAGATTGAAGTCCTCTGTCATTGCATTAAATAAGGAATAACATAAACAGCACCAATCCAGACTTTCTCCTTGCTSTGCCTCAGCCATGCCCAAATCCTGGGGCTCCTGTAAATTTTTGCTAGTGCTAAAGACATAGTAGTCTCCCTTTGCTGAGGAGGTGAACACACACCACCATTCCCATTCTCACACTACTGGCAGACAAGCTGGCATGGATGTGACTCACCTCCCAACATCACAGAATTGTTCCCAGAGACAAAAATAGGACCCAGGGTCCCTGTAGCTAGTCCCTGATGTGCTGTAATGACGTGTTTGGGAGAGGSCCTCTAAAACCCCTTCAGGTCTGTGGGGAGAGCCAGTGCCCATCCCTCCACCTAAGCACAGCATCCTTGCTAACCTTGACAGACACTGACAAGAACAACACAACTGCTTGGGAGCTTGGGAGCTTTGAAGCTTGGGAGCTTACTTGCCTGCTCAGGAAGTGCATTTCATGCTGTGTAAGAGGACTCGTTATTCTGATTAGATGTGAGCATTGAATCCAAGCTGTGATACAGCTCCTGGTGTTGCACTTCTCACACGGAGAGCAGGGCTTGGTAGCTCCTCCAGGCGGTGCTCAGTGTGGCATGAGTGCTTGCTAAAGGTTACCCCTGCCTGATAAATGGAAGGAAGGTAGGATGTGTCCCAGCCCAGTCAGAAGGGAATGTCAGACATCATTGCTTTTGCTGTGATGGGCCCTGGCTCCATTCCCTTGGCAATCAAAGGTACCTGTCTCATCAGAGGGGTTCGGGGTGTGGGTGCTCAGTGAGGCAGCTGTTCCCTGACAGCGTTCCTGTCTGTCGCTCTCCAGTCCCGCCCGTGGTGGAGCCAGCCTTCCAGGACGTGCGGCAGGGCATGGGGCACAGCGTCACCCTGCGCTGCACCATGCTCAAGGGCAGCCCCATGAAGGTGGCCACCTCCGTCTGGCGCTTCAATGGGAGCCTCCTGGCGCAGCCCCTGGCCGAGCAGCAGGACTACTCGGAGCTCAAGGTGGACAGCGTCAGCCGGGAGACCAGTGGGAACTACGAGTGCACCATTTCCAACGACGTGGGAGTCTCCACCTGCCTYTTCCAGGTGTCTGGTAAGTCACAAAGTGCACATCAGAGCCAGCTGTTGGATGGGGTCATGGGCAGCTTGCACCTCATAAACTGGTGCAGGTACACTGCCTCTACTGCCTCCTCTGATCAGGAGGAATGGTTTTCCATAAGCCAGCAGACAGATCTGTCTCCATCATTCAGGCAGATGGATGTAGAGCAGTTAAGTGCTAGCCACTGGTGCATTTTAGAGGTGTTTGACCACTTACAGGACTTAAACTCAAAGCTGCCATCAGCTCTCAAGCTTAGGCAACCTGTGTTGTTGATAACTATTGACAAAGRGGAAGTGAAAAGCTCTGTACATCCCTCCAACAGGCTCCAAACCATCTAATTTCCCCTTTAAAAGCAAACAAAGAAACAAAAACTATATTATGTATTTCTGTGCCTTCCCTGTGAATCCCGTCTGTCCGTGTTTCACAGTGCTTTCTAAAAAAAAAACAGGAGCTGTGAATGGACACTGGTACCCAATGGGTTTACTGCTCACAGTTTTCTGTGAATTCATCATCCACTGTAACAGGACTCCCCTTCAGCACCTGCAACTGCAAAGAGGGATGGCAGAGTTAGAGCRTCTGAAACTGCACATCTGACCTGGCCTTTCCAGCTGATCATTAAATCTGCTTTTCCCATAACCCCAGAATTTAGTTGGGCACAATTTTTTAGAAAAGCTCTCCCATGAAGTTGCCTTAATAAGCAATAAATTCAGCTCACATACTCAGGTTTGAGTCCAGGGCCAATTTACAATACTTTTCWTGACAGGTTTGAAAAAATGAGAMGGAATCATCCAGAGARGCCTGATTTTGAARCAGGTTTTTCCTACATGTGCTGTAACTCTGAGATGCTTACAGAAATTYTTCTTCTACAATTTGCGTCCCTTTTCCGRACCTTGCTCTCACCCCTTGAGATTTCCTGGCATTCATCTTGGATGAGTGGATTTTGCTTGAGAGCTTTGGCCCTCTCTACCCTCTCTACCTTTTTCTTATGCTGGTAATTCTCAGGTCACTAAGTGATAGCAAACCATAATGAGCCATCACAGAAAACTGTGTACCTGTCAAGCCTGAGAATGTTCCCAGGAATTTCTCASTGGTGGCAGTAGCAAATACATATTGGCACCCAGTGGGCCATGCTGGGCCTGAGATAAGATCCCCTCAGCAGAAAGCAGGATTCATCCCTAGAGAGCACTCATCAGGAAAGCAGCAAGCCTTTAATTTTCCTGCATCCCTTCTCCTTTTCCAAGGCATTTATATCTGATAGTAGCTGTTCAATTCAACATCTTTGCCTGTGTCCTGGACACTTAGAAATTAATTACACCTTCTGAGCCTGAAAAAGTAACCTGAAAAATATTCCCAGTGACTAGACTGCTGTACTTGGATTGCTGGAGTTTTAATTCCCATCAGCCACAGCCTTCCTGTTTGAGCAGGGAGAATAACATGGTCTCTTTTTTGTTTTTGTTTCTTCTCTGTGGAAAAAGAAATATAAACCTTCCTATGTGACAGGAACACAGGGATCCGTTTGTGACTGTGGGGTGTTCAGATGTACTGAAAATACAATACATGTATCTGGTCAGGATGGGATTATTTTCTTCTGTGGATGGGTGATTAGCTTTCCAAGATGTTTTGGAAGGGTAGTGAGGCATCCAACCCATTCTTCTTGAGGAAGTTACCAGGGTGGCCCATGCTGTTTATCATCTGCTCCCTCACTGTCCACAAGCACAGAAGAGCCTGAAAGACAGAAGTGAATAACCTTCAGCTCTTCCCGTCAGCTGTAAGCAAAAGACAAAACTTTCCAGCAGTGGTAAAAGTTTCCAGAAAGAAGTTCTGAAAGTATTTTGATGTGCAGCATTTCTATCAAAAAGCTTTTTTTTTCCTAGCTTCTATTTCCATCTTGGAGTCAATTAATAAGGAATTAATACCATGCAAGATGATGATTATCATCAGTTCTGATTTTATTTCGAAATCCATTATGAAGCTTGACTTCCACAGTCAATACAAGTTGAATAAGCAGCAATTAGTCTCTGAGGTAGTTCTGAACTTCTTGGTTGTGCAAAAAATCAAGTCAATAAAAATAATAAGAGAAAAAGGACTTGGAAATAAATATCAATATTATCCGAGTTCATAAAAAATAAACATTGAATCCTGTCAAGCCTAATTATAACCATACAGAATGGCAGGGGCTGTGATTYAAGTGGAAAGGTGCAGCAGACATCCTGGGGAGATGGTGTTTGTGCCTTTTCTGCTCTCCAGCAGATCCCTTGCTGCCCAGGCATCTCTCTGGTCTYTGGTGATTTAGACCAGACCTGAACTCAGACACCTGAGTTTTCATTCAGCTCCAACTCCTGCCTGACTCAAAACAGGACCTGCCAAGAAAATGAAGTTCACTGGGTGAAATGATTGTAGTTTCAAATAAGGCAAGACCCGTTGTGGATAAGACCTCGAGTTGCCTGTGAACCCTGTGCATTAACCCCCAAGCTGCTGGGCTGCAAGGCAGGACCCTTCAGATTCTGTTTGGTAGTGATCCAGGACAGCAGCTGCTGAGGAAATGATTCAAAGTCCCTTCTTCTCTGAACTCTTGTTTTCTCTCTGGTACGTCTTTTCCTCCTGCGTTTCCCAAAGCTGCACTTTGTTTTTAAGGAGAGACACGGGTTTAGAAAAGACATCTGTGCCCCTGCCAGAGCTCCCGCTGCTTTTGCCCAGGCTGAGGTCAGCGTCCCCTTTGYTGCCGAGTTGCCTGTTGTGTTACAAAAAGGCTGGAGTACTGTGTTGCCAAGGCAGGGGAAATGCACAAGGAGCAAGGTCTCCTTTTTAATGCTGTGGTCCCTGTGTGATAAATAACACTTTTCCTATGACCTACTGGCCAGATGATCTTTCCTCAGGGTTTGTTAGCAGGAGTCTCTGTAAAGCAGCAGATGAAATGGGAGGAATGCCAGTTTAAAGCTGTTACTTCAATCTAAACTACAAAGCAAGGGAGAAAATATTAGAGCTGGTTCCAGCTGGAGAACTGAAGTAGTTCCCGCCTTCTCAGGTGCTGGTCATGTCCCACTGGTTTTGTAGGGCTGCTAATCCTCCCAACAGTTTAGGCTGTGAAAGCAGTAGTGATTCACAGAAGCCTGTGGCACATCAGTGCTACAGGAAAGGTGTCCATTGTGTTAGAGGCAGGTGGATAAGCTGGGTGAGTGGAGCTCTTCCCCTCTCACCACGTCTCTTTGTAATTTTCATTCCATTTGATCCCACTCTTTTACTTTCCTCCCTCTTTTTTCTTTTTTTCCCCTCCAGCAAAAGCTTATAGCCCAGAGTTTTACTATGACACTCCCAACCCCACCCTGAGCCAGAAGCAATCCAAGAATTACTCTTACATCCTGCAGTGGACCCAGAAGGAGCCCGATGCAGTGGATCCCATCCTCAAATACCGCCTGGAAGTCCGGCAGGTAAGGTCTTCTGGAGCCCCAACCCRTGGCCTTGGGAAGGCAGCCTTCCAGGTGGCAGTGACATCAATGTCTCCTTGCTGATTAAGAGCTGAAGGTGATGAAATTGGCAGATCCTGATGGTCTTGCACCTTCCCCACTCAGTGGAAGAGAAGGCCAAGTGCACAGCTGGGTGTTCATTTTTACCTCTGGGGTTGGGTACACTCAAGATTTTTCAAAGCTCTGTGGTCCCCACTGGGCTGTTAATGCTCCATGCTTGGAATGGGGTTTTAATGGGAGCAATGCCTTATAGTCATTAGTAGGTGCTGAAGGTTTTATAGGCCAAAGATTCAAACRAGTGAAATTCCATCCTCCTCACTCGTATGGAAAAAAGGGAATGAGCTGAAGAGCTCTCCAGGCAGGAACTGCAGGAAAAAGTCAGTGGYGGCTGTTTGCGTTGCAGAAGGGCTTTCATCCTGTTGCAGTTACTAAGCTATTTGGCCTATATGAACTCTGCAGGGGAAGAGAAGTGGGTTTCAAGGTTTGTGAGTTTGAAGAGATATCATACTGGGGGTTGGGGGCTGGAGGGAGAACTGAGTGAAATCTGAAGGCATCGCTTGTTGGAGAAGGGTAGGGAAAAGAGTTTGATGTTTTTAAAGAGCACATTATCTAAGCAGGATTGCTAGGTGCTTTCATCCACACCCAGCAAAGCGCCTGCATTCAACATTTTTGAAAAATGGGGACACTTAAAATTGGTGTTTCTTACCATTCACTGGTCRCTGGGAAGCAAATGCATTTTGCGAGGAAAAGTTTGTTTACTGTAGATAGAAAACAAAATAATTAAAAAGATTCAAGTGTCTCTTTCCTCTAGTTCCGCACAGTAGGCTCCAGTTTTATGTCTCCRTTTGATTGTGAGCTCTCTGGGGTGGGACAGCCTTTGTTTGTTACTCACACTGCGTGGAGCATGTTGGCAGTACTTAATAATAATACAGGACACGGGGGAGCCTCTAATAATGAGGGCAGTTTGTCATAGTAGATCTTCCCTCTGAGCCAAGTTTTGCTATTATCAGCACTGCAACTCAATGAACAAATTTGTGTGTTTTATCTTTCTCCAGTAAGTTGAGGGTTTTTTCCTTTTTGCTCTGTGTCTGAAAGTAATCTTGGTTCTATTCTTAATTGAGTTCCTACTGAAAGGGATCAAGAAAAGGGAAAATCACTTTTCTSCTTTAAGTTAGGACACGAAGAGAGCTGAGTGGCTTGCAAATTTAAAAACACACACCCAGTTTTGTTCATACCCCATTGTTTACTGCTGTTACTGTTTTGCAGCATCGCCACCACACAGTTGTGGCTGTTGAGTGTTGTGTTTTAGAGGAGCATGATACCGAGGCCCTGCTGCAGTCATGTGTATGGGAAGGCTCTTAGAAATGTCCATGGGTGTCATCATGGTGGCTGGGATGGAATAAGGGAAGGCAGAGGGAGGAGGAGGAGGCAGGGGAGTTTTGTTCCCACTTCCGTCAAGCACAAGCAGGAAACACTTCGTTGTGGTACTGCTATAWAAAATTAGCCCTGTCCTGGCTGAAACTGGGGCACACTGGAAAAAGGTTTTATGGTATTGCCTCCTCCTGGCCTTTTTCCAATGAAAATGATTGCATTTCATGGTGAGCTCTCCACCTCCATGTGCCGTACTTACTGAGCCCTTTTCATTCCCTTGCCTCAGATGATCACATCCCCTCTCATATCCAGTCTCCTGCTTCCCTGTGTTCGTGTGCTGCCTTCATGGTGTTTTCGCTGTGACATCTCACTTGGGCTCCAAGCAGCCTTTTGACACCTTTTRACCTTTTGCTCCTTCCTGTGCTCTATCACCTTCTCACATGTCCTGCAGATTCTGCCGCTTTATCACACCCTCTTCTCTGTGCTGGGGCACCTGGGCTAAGCCTTGCATCCTTCTGTTYCATTGTTGGACTGCAAAACATAGTGCCCTTAGTGAATATAACTGTGAAAAGCCCAAAAGCTTAAGAGTGTTACTGACTGGAGAGCCCTTAAGAAACAGGATTTGTCTGCCTGAATGTGGAGCTGCTGTTCACTTGTACACCCTCCTCTGGATATGCTGGCTTTCCAGGCACAAAAGTCTTCCTGGAGAGCTGGGATTGAATGTTCTCCTTGGGTAAAACAGGCCTTRCACGTGACCAGACACAACCGATTTATCGCCAGCATAAAGCTGAAAGCTCAGCCAGCCAGCACCCCTCCTCCCCCAGCCCYAGGAGCTCTGCAGCCTCAGTGGGCATGGCAGGGGCTCTTCAGCACCTTAAGGATGAATGAACGTGTCACCAGCAGCCTGCAGTCTTGGGGTGGTGAGGGGCTGTCATGGAAAGAGGGGATGGAAAGAGGAGAATTAACTCTTGCTGGGTTGGAAYGCAAAAGACAACCTGGGATGCCCACTGGTTGCAATTTGGTTTGCTGGTTTTCATTTCACACTCCCTGGTTTGCTTGAGGAGCTCTTGGCATATGGAGTATGAAGATCCCCAAGCAACAGGATGCTTTGCAAGGCACCTGGGAACCCTTGAATTAAATTTGCCAGCTGCAGCTGCTGAAAATGGGGCTGGGTGAGAGTCAAAGTTGCTGCTTATTAATTTGCTGCTGCCATGCCTCCTCCAGTTCTTCCTGTTCAGCAGCTTCCTAGGGCATTACTGGGGGAATTGCAAGCAGCCTGGGGGAGTTTGGTTTCCTAAGCAATGCAYGGGGGCTCCCAGCAAGATGGGCAGGTGCACTTCCAGCAGAGCTGATTGTTCCCTGTGCTGCGGAGCAGGCTGAGCGGCGCAACAGACGCCCCAGTTCCACTAGAATAAGAATTAACTTCCGATTAAAACCATCTAAGCAGCTCGACAGCTTGGAGCCACTGACCCAGGAAAGCACGTATGATGGCAACTTGGAGCAAGCTCCTTGTAAAGCCTCTGCTCTGTGTCTTGGCAAAGAGGCTGTGGTTTCCTGGAGGGTATCRTTCGGGTGGGCTTAGGCAGTGGCATTGTTGAGTGACAATTCCGAGGGGAAAACATGTCCAGGGAAGAACAGCAAGGGCCTCACAGCCGTCCGTCCTGACAGCTTGGGAGGCTTTTCCTTTCTTACTGCGAGGCAGCCAATCCAAATGCCAACCACCTTGCCTCACCTTAGCCAGTGACCTCGGTGAGTTCGCAGCCTTGGATGGTTTGGCTGTGGGCAGATACCACGAGGTTTTTGGGCTGTTTGTTTGGGCAGCTTTTTTTCTGCCATGTATTCTTGCAGCGTAGAAAGGGCACTGAAGTACTGCGCTCCAACTGAAAATGCTTTTCATTGCTTGGGGATTCGAAGCAGCCTCCCCAAACCAGATCTTTGCTTAAAAAATAAAAAGCCTTTTAAGTTGCTTGTTTCTCTCTGTGTATTTTATACCTGTCCCAGGGCTCTGCTCTAACATTAAAGAGAAATGAAAAGCCATCTAATACTGCAAGCAGGTTGCATCATGGAGGAAAGATCTGAGCTGGGCTGGTGGTTATGGTTATGGGGGATAGTGGCAGAATAACTGTGCACTTAATGAGCTGGAGCCCATCCGTGACCTGAGGCTGAAAGAGAAAGACGAAGGAGAAGCTGCTGGTGCAGTAAGAAAGTTTAATCTTTTCTGTTCCCCTCAAGGCAACCTGAGGCTGCTGTCTCCTCTGTAGCTTCTCATACTTAGTCTCAGGCCTGAATTGGGCCAGCTTTATGTATTCCTGGCTTTCCCCTCCTCCAAGCAATCTACCTGCCAGAGAGACCCCTGAAATTTGCACTGGGCCAGGCCCCAGACCCGTTTGCTAAATTAGCCCACTGTGTTGTCACTTCAGATTAATTCCTGCCAGRGAGACTGTCTTTAATGAGACTGGCCCTGTGCAATGCCTGAGTAATTGTATGGTCTCTCTTTGTTTGTACTTTCATCTCCTCCATGTTGGATAAACATTCCCTGCTGTCTACAAAACTCATCTGGGCTTGGGAGCCGGCTGCCGCTTGCCTCATCAGCCAGGCAGAGCAGCATTAATGAGAGCTGTGGCAGTGGGGAGCCYGCACACCATGTGGGGAGGTGACAGCAGAGCTGTTTGGACAGACACAGGACAGGGGCGTTAGCAGGAATTTAATKACTGTGATTAGAGTGGAAGGTTTACTCCGCTCATGGCCATCCTAGCACAGTGGGAGAGGTTTTATGCCGAGTCCCATGGACTATGGATCTGTGTCACTGCATTTCTGCCTCTGAGTTGTTCTTTTTCTCTCCTCTGAACCCACTTCAGCAGTGTCTGTCTCTGGTTGCATTAGCTCTGGGAGCCAGCCACCCTTCCAAGGGCAGAGGGGTCTCTCCCTCTCTTTCCATGCTGAGCAGGGGTGGAATTACGTGGAAGGAAGGATGAACGAGCGCAGTGCACCCGCTCATGCTTTCCTGTAAATGTTTGCTGGAGGATGCCTTTGGGTCCCAGACCGAAAAGGCTGTGTCTGCAGAAAGGTGATGTACTTGCAGCCATCCAGCCCTGTGCCCTGCGAAGTGAACAAAATTCCTTCTCTTCTGCACATGCAGCCGTGGCTTCAGGCAAAAATTCTTGGGAAATGGAGCTGCTGGTGCCTTGTGGGATTGCCTGGGGGCTGCACCTCAGAGCTGGGGGACACCAAAGGCTTGGTAAGGAGGCAGCTCTGCACGAGTCAGAGTTCAAAGTGGCCAAACTCACTTTGCAAAGGGGCTGACATTTTGCTGGYTCTGCAGCACGATGCTGCCATTGCCAAGGCAACCGCTGCACGCCAGGTTGGGTCCATAGCCCTCAGCCCAAAGCTCTGTGGGGCACTGTGACCCCACTGGCCCCATCCTGTGTGTGTCCACAGTAGTATTGCAGTGAGGTTTTCAGTTAGGGGATGCTGCAAGAGCTGAGGAGGTGATAYCTGGTTTAGGACTTAACTAAAAAGTGGCCAGGGCTATCCTAATTTTCTAGAAATTTCCTAATTTACTAGAAAATGAAAAGCTTAAAGCATGGAGTTGC